TTGACTACGCATAGACAGATCACCTAAGAGAGCGGCTGCTCTTGCTTTCGCTGTTATTGAGTCGACTTTAAGGAAGTCTATGAGCAATGGGAATGCACCAAGTTCAACCACGGTACGCTGAGACTCGAGATTTGTGGGGTCTGTGAATCTGAAAAGAGCACTTAAGGCATTCTCCTTTGCTTCCATGGTGCCTGATTTTAAAATGTTTATGATAGCTTTGAGTCCACCTAATTCAATTAGCTTCTCAGTGAGTGACACCTCTGATTTCGGAAGATTGGCCAAGAGACCAGCTGCAGCCATTTGTACATCACCCTTGACATCATTCTCGAGAAAACCAACTAAAGCCTCCATCCTTCGGGGCTTAAGAAGATACTCTACAACTCCTTCGGGTTCATGCTGGGAGAACAGAAAGAGAAGACTGATTGCTGCTTCTCTAATTTCCTGGTTAGAGTCATCGAGGAGCGGTAGGACAACTGAAACACCACTGGCAGAGAGAACTGCGGACTTAATAAGTCCAGCTTCAGATTGACAGATTCCGAGCAATGCCTGCAAAGCGGGCCTTCGAACAATGTCTGAGAAGTCAAGATTCTGTTGTAAAGCCAACAGGTCACCAATGATGACCTCTACTTTGAGTTGATTTCCGTTTTCATCAACTAGGAACTTCATTGCATCTCCATTCTTGCAAAGATTTGCAAGAATTTCTGAGCATTTAGCAATGATAGCAGTGTACAAATGGGAAGAGAACATCGTCTTTACGATGAGAGGGACCCCACCTGCAGCAGCTATAAGCTTCTTGTTATCATAGCAGTGTGATAATTTGATGAGGGCAGATAATGAAATTTCTTTTGATTCAAAGCTTCCAGACAACATTTCCAGCAGAGAAGGGATAATTCCTTTTTCACCAAGAAGTTTGATATTATCCTCAGTAAGTTCCAAACCAAGAAGTGCCACCACAGTTGATGTTCTTGAAGGTGCTGAACCTAGGAAGCCACTGAATGATTTTAGCAGCATTTAAAGTTTTTAAACTCAAAGAAACAAAATAGAAGTGCCATTTTTACTGATGAGTGGCATGGTATAACCACCCTTTATCTTATGTTAAGATTTAAGAAGCAGGTGAATTGTGTCATTTCACGTAAAAACAGGTTAAAATGTTTCAATTTGAAGCTTGAACAAACATAGCTTAATGCCATGCTACATATATTCGCTTTCTATAATCTTTTTTTTAATCACTGTTTATTCAATTATAACATGCAACTTATTGCTTTTGAAGCATCAATTTCAAAGAAATTAATCCTATCTAATTATTCTGTTATGCATCAATTGGCCAAGAGAAAAGGCATTATTACCTTGAATAATCTTATCAACGAGAGGCTTATACCAGCCCTCTTTAGCAGCCTTAATAATGTTCTCCTCATCTTCATCACAAAGCTTTAATAGGATTTCTTCTGCTTTCTCTACTGACACACCAACCTCTCTTTTGAGCAGGTAGACAAGGGAGAGAATTGTATTACACTGCTGGGAGAGTTTTGCACAGTAGGACATGTTCCAACCAGGCCTATCTTGCAGAACTTCGTACAGCAATTCAACTGCAGCATTTGATAAGCTTGTTTCCAACCACAAACATGCTACTGTGTTCTCAAGACCTGAATTCTCAACAAATATACCCTATAAAATTATGGAAAATATTATGTTCAGTTTATAGTTATGAACTCTGGAAGCAGTACAAGCAGAGATGTTATATGTGTTTAAACTTGTACAATTTCTTAAGAAACACGAATTAAATGACTTACCTTGTTTCTTGTATGCCCCTGTATGATATCCTTCAAGGTAGTAATCAACTTCAATTTAAGATTTCCATCAATCAAACTACCAAGTTTAGAAACTAGAATATAAGTAAGGCCTCCGATTGAGATCCATTCTTTGTTTATTGAATTTTCCTTCATAATCCTCTGGATTTTGACTAGAGCCTCTTCAATAAATGAATCTGCATCAGAAAGTAATTTTGCCTTGCATGACCTGATAAAGATACAATAGTTCAGTTCTTTCCATTCCTGTATTGACTGTCTGAGTTGAAGGTTTGGTCGATAGGAAAAAACTTGTAGTACTTCACCGGTTTCTGGATCAGTATTTTCCCCAAAGTCAAACCAAGCTTGTATAGCAGCTCTCTCACATGCAGTACCAGTGCAAAGGCTAACAGGATCCACCATAATTTCTTTGGTTATACAACAGATAAAAGCTTTAAATGGCTGGATGTATTCTTCTCTAGGGTCATACCGCTCTATGATTTTAACCCTCTGGAAATATTTGTTCCTGACTTCCTCGTAATCTCTTGCAGCATCCGCTAGAGAGAGCAGCTCAATAACTTGTTCCAAGAATAAAACTTCGGCTCTTTCTTTCCTGCTAGCTGCTTCTTCTTTTTCTTTTTTGAAATTATTAAGCTCCTTGGTTATCTCAGCTGGCTCAACTGACACCCCAACAGCCCTTGCTATCTCCTTGAGCATGTTATTCGCAAACTCCTGGTCATGTGTCTGATCTGTTAAACATTGATTTAACCTGTCAACAATTTGAAGCTCAGATTGACTAGCTTCAAATCTTGCCCTTTGCATCTCCTTTTGCAACCTATTCACCTCATCAGAAATCCCTGACAGGACTTCAATGTTAGCAAGGGATAACGCCGCTAAAGAATTCCCAATATCCCTAGTCACATCCTCCACCTCTTTGACAATATGCCTACACTTGATGAGCAAGTAGAAACGTGCTCGGCTCTTGTACTTCTCAACCAAGTTATTGGCTTTCTTGACATCATTTTCAAGGGATTCTAAAGCTTGTCTAGCAGCCGGGGAATCATTTAGTTTCTGTAACTGCAGCTCTTTTAAGACAGGCTCAATGTCCAAAAGATGCTTTGCTAGACTCTTGAAACTCTCCTTCTCAAAGATCACATCATTCGCAGCTTGAGCCGTTTTGATCACCTGGCTTGTGAGGAGAGCCAGAATGGTTCCAATAGGTATTATCTCTGCCATTGTGGTAAATGCTAAATCTTCTATAAGTTGATCCTGAACCAACAGACAAAATTTGGGAAACTATTACAATTTTTCTCCAACAATATATACAAATAAACACAACCCACAATTCATCAAACACTTTGTCGTCAATGGGATAGAGGAAATTATGCACTTGCTCAGAACCAAAATACTTCATCAGAACTATGTTAACATCTTATGAAAAATTAACAAAAGGACAGACATATCTCAGATATCTACAGAAATCCAGTCAAGCATGAATTACCGAGAAAGATTACTGATTAAGGAAAAAAACTGGGTTTCAAGGGGTTACCTTCAAGAACCTGTTAGCATCACTTTGAGATAACTGTATTGCCGATTGCTTTGAGTTATACAGCAAGGAAGGAGCCCCATGGACTTTGAAGTCAAGAGGTCAACCGATTCCCAACAAAAAATTCGTGGCCAATAGTGACTTTCTTTCCATTTTCTGGGAAGAAATTCTGGGATCAATGAAATGAAGACACAAGACCCCAGATGTCTGACTGCATTGTTTCTTGACATTTCTTCTAATCAAAAGTCAGACAAATAAATTGGGGGAAGAAACAAGACAATTTCAGCGATTGACTTTTTCTCGGGAGATTTCATGGATTAATTTCGAAATGTTAGTAGTATAATTTACTCAACAGGACGCTTGACTTGGTGTATCCATAATAAACTAATTGTCTCACATCAAAATGCTTAGTACTAGCATGGAATACTTGGTTCTTTGCCAAATAAATGGCACCCTTTCTATCACGGAGCAATTAAATTTCACTTTGCTCAATATCCAAATCCTAGATTAAACATGAAACCCATAGATTTCTTTAACATCTTTAGTTACAACCATGTACTTTGCTTCAGTTGTAAACAATGCTACAATAAACTGAATTGATGATCTCCAACATATAGGTCATCCTCCTAGAGTAAAAACATACCTAGTTATACGTAGACCTTCTATTATCCAAACCACCTGCATAGTCCAAATCCACATACGTACCTACAACCAAAGGCTCACTTTGTTGATTGTCAAATACAATACCATGCTTCATATAACCCCTCAAATAATGGAGAATCCCTTGACGGCCTCCCAGTGTTGCTTCCTGGTTTTAAGGGTAAAACAAAAGACAACGCGAAAGTAAGAGAAGATTTGAAACTCTTTTGTAAGAGATTGAAAAGAGTTAGAAAAAAACCTTGCCACAAGTAAATATCCAAAAACATGTTATTCATTAGACAATAAGCAGAAATAAGTGTTATGTGAATGAGTGAAAATCTGAAATTCCCGGTAGTTATGTGTCAAATATGGGAAGGTGCGTAGATATGAGCAAACACATGCTATTTGGAATGAAGAGTCATGATTGTCATGTTTTCATGCAAAGGTTGATGTCCATTGCATTTCGAAAGATGTCGCCAACCAAGGTTTAAGAAGCAGTAACTGAATTAAGCATTTTCTTAAAAACCTTAACTGCAAGAGTCATTAAAGTTGAAGAAATGACAAGATTAGGTTATGAAATTTCAATAATTCTATGTAAATTGGAGAACATATTTGTTCCGGAATTTGTTGTCTCAATGGAGCATCTGTCAATACATTTGCCATATTAGGCTAGGATTGCTGGTCCTGTACAATATTTCGTCGTGTAAAAAAATATGACAAGTCGATAAACGACGGAATAGATTCCGTCGCAAAACGTGATTCGCGACAGAATTTTACTCTAAATTTCGCAGTGATTCATAATTTTTCTTGTAGTGGGATATGAGAGTAGTGCTAAATAGATATGAGATAGGTACGAATAATATCCTATTGAATTTTAGATAGTCCTATAGATAATCTGGCTCGAGTTCGAGACTCGAGGCACTATCATTATTATGCATTAAATAAATAAATAAACAAGTGCCTTATCATGGCAAAAAAATTATGAAAACACAAAACATAAAAAGCAGCCCATCCATGACGAAAAAGTGGATAAGATACAAAAATGGACTGCTCTCATCCACCCACTCAATAACTTAATTTCTCAAAGTTTTTCAAGAAAATTAAACATCATCTAGCTTTTAGCAGGAAGGAAATGGCTGGTTCAGAAACACTGTCACTGGTCTCTAAAATTCCAGTGCCTAAACTCGGGTCTCCAAAACCTGAAAGATTATGTCAAGTGAAGCATAGGGTGTTCATGAATGGTAACATAAAACCATTTTCTTTGAATCTTGGAAGAAAACATGAAGGTAAGAGACCAAGAAAGCTGCATGCTGGGTTTGCAGAGATTGAGCCAGACCTTAATGAAGATCCTGTTGACCAGTTTAGGACTAATGGCATTGCCGCAGTATGTTTATTTACAATATTTGTTGTCTTTGAAGTAAATTAAATTAAATGTGGTCTTATTATTATACACATAAACAGTTCATAGTATAGAAATTGAGCTTTATTTGTTGATGGTTGCAGGAAGATTTTGTGTATGGGAAGTATGATGATCATCATACATACTATGAAGCTGAAGATATAAAAGGTAAACATCTACTTTAATGAGGCTTACTTTAATTTTCTACTGAAACTGAAACCTATCTTGCCTGCCCACACAAAAGGTGAAATTTTCTTGCCCTACATCCCGACCCGACAGGATATAGTTAATGAGTAAATGATGGTGAATCAATGGCCCATTTGGTTAGAGTATCTGTTCTTAGTGCCCACAAAGAACCCACTACATTAGGTAAAACTCTCACACGTACTGTGATTGTCAGGACTCGATCATTTGTGTCTCCTTGAACTCGAACATTTATCTTAAAGTGTGACTTTCATTTCAAGGAGATATATAGGATGTCAGTATTGAAATCTTTGTTTTGGGTTAAGTTGTTTGGGAAATATATGTTACAAGCAAATTATGTTGTGCAACCGTGTGCACCATACATGGTGCACACGGTTGCAAAAACGACGTCGTTTTGACTAAAAACGCGCGTCACACTTAAAAGAAAAAAAATCAGGTTCGATTCCCGATAATAGCATTTTTGTGTGCATAATTTGAATCATATATCTACAATGAATGAACTAAATATCCACAATGAATGAACTAAATATCCACAGTGAATGAATAATTGAAAATCCAGAATGAATGAACTAAATATCCAGAATGAATGAACCAAAAATCCAGAATGAATGAACAACATAATGATGTTGAGGGGAATCGAAACTGAACTTTTTTTTTTTAAATGGGACGCGCGTTTTTAGTCAAAACAACGTCGTTTTGCATGGTGCACACGGTTGCACAACATAACTATTGGGTGCAATGTTTGTGATCTGAAATGTATTATGGACCGGGATATCTAGGATCGCGTCACATGCCTAGAAGCTTAAGAATGAAAATGAAGCTTTTCTGGAGTGCTTCTTCTGCCTAATCTTTCCTTTCAAAATTATCAATTTTCAAAGTCACTCTTCTTCAAATACATAGTAGCTATTTATACATAATAATATAAGACTACCAACTACCTAAGTGTCTATAACTATCTAAGAAAATGGCTGTCCCACAACAACAACAACAACAACAACAATAATAATAATAATAATAATTGTAACAACACTATGGTTGTAACAAAATGTGTTACAGGTGGTTTTTGGGAAACCCTCTCAGCAGAGTATAATTCGATTGGACCACCAACTGGCTTTCAAGGTACCAATATAATAGCTATCTTCTGATCTATCTACCAAATTCATGTGAGAAAAATGGTGGAAAGTTCACATATATCTTTATTCACCTGCCTGTGTGTGCTGGTTTGGAGTAGGTTTTATAGCATGGATGTTTCTTCCTGCAATTGCAGCAGGGATGTATTTCAATGTTCCGGTATGTATAAGCACAACTCCTCAGATCAATATATATATATTTCAATGCAAATTTTGGAATATAATGTGTGGCTAAAACAAATATATATGCAGGGAGAGTATTTGTATATTGGAGCAGGTGTGTTCACAATAATCTTCTGCATCATTGAAATGGACAAACCCAGTGAGGCACACAACTTTGAGCCACAGATTTACAGCATGGAGAGAGGGGCGAGGGAGAAGTTAATATCAGATTACAACACCATGGACATCTGGGATTTCAATGAGAAGTATGGAGACCTCTGGGATTTCACTGTCACAACAACTGCAGATGACATCATGAAGAGATAGATGAACCAAATTATATGATATGATATGATGATGTTTCTTTGGAAATTAATGTATGTAGCTCCAAGAAGTTGCAGATGATATATATGATGTTGGAGCAGTCATAGCAAGGCTATGAAGAAGAGTTCCATGTTGAAAACAATATAATAATCTCACAATTATACCTATAAAATGTAGAAAATCACAAGCTTTTCTTTTATATTTGTCAACCCAAACTTCATTACATTATACTAAGTTTTTGATGGGAGTGTATGATTGTATGCTAAGAAGCTTGTAAGACAATTTACGACTTTGATACTCATTCCTGATATCTAAATCTATGAACCAAACACATCCTTAGTTTGTATCCCATTCCATGTAGCTGAAAGTTTGAGAAACTAGAAAACCAAAATTAGAGAATTGAAAAAGTGGGAAATGAAAAACTTGTTTACTAAAATCAATTCTTTCATTTTTTAAAGGGAAAATTGTAAAAAATGCCCCTTTATAATATGTCAATTATCAATGTTACCCTTAAATTATGAGTGGTGTAAATGTTGCCCCTCAATTATCAAAATGGTGCACATATAGCCCCTCCTGTAACGGACATATGGTTCCCCACCGTTGTCTATCGCTGATACTTCGAATCGAGAGAGGGAAAAAACAACTAAATTACATATTTGATCCGACTTAACAGTGTCGTACACTAACGGAAAACCACATGTCCGTTACGGGAGGGGCTATATGTGCACCGTTTTGATAATTGAGGGCCAACATTTACACCACTCATAATTCAGGGGTGACATTGATAATTGGCATATTATAGAGGGGCATTTTTTATAATTTTTTATTTTTTAAATTCTCCTCATTCTCCAACTTTATATGCAATTTTGGAGAAGTCCATTTCAAACTTCTCAAATGAATAAATGGAGAAATATGAGTGAACATTGCTGCATTCCAAGATGTCACTAGTTTGAATTCTTGTGAGCACTCTCTTTTTTTGCTTTTTCTTTTTCCCTTCTCCTTAGCACACAATAATTCCTTATGCTCACAGTTGTGTTATTATAATATTATTATTTTTATTTTCCTTTCTCCTTTTCACTTTGCACAACAACAACAACAACAAAGACATCACCACCACCACCGTTATAGAAATGTACAAATGGTATATTGAGTAATTGTGTTTTGCGCATTTTGTATTGTAATCAAACTATGTACTAAAATAGTTGAAATAGTTGTAATTTATTTAATAATATTTATTATCAACTTTTGTTACCTTTTGTACATTTAGTATTAGTATATTAATTTTTTTTTAGCATTCAAAAAAAAAATATTAATTTTTTTTTAATTTAAAAATTAAATTTATTAAAAAAATGGGAAATGAAAAATTAGAGAAATGGAGATTAAAAATTAAAAAATTAGAAAAATGATAAAGGAAAAATAAAGAAATGAAATAAAGGATCCGTAAAGCTCCATAAATTAAGGAGCCTTTTTGACGTTGCATTTGGTTTGGAAGAGGAGCATTGCTCCTCTAAGCTCAAATGCTCCTCTTCTAAGGAATTTCAATGTGGGATCAATCTCATCACATCATCACCCTTAGGTTTTTTTGTTTTTTTTTTTTTTAAAAAAAAAATTACATATGATTTTGTTTTGTTTTGGATTATTATTATTATTATTATTATTATTATTACTATTATTATTATTATTATTATTATTATTATTAGGAATAAGGTCAAATAAGCTACTGAACTGCACACGAGAATGCAATTAGGTCACTGAGCCTAAAAAACCTACAATTGAGTCCCTAAACTAACCAATTTCATTCAATTTGTCTATTTTTTAAGTTTCTCAAGTTGCTAACAAGTTACCCTTCCATCTAAGATTCTTATGTGGCATTTTAAAAAAAAATAATTTATTTTTAAATTAGTTTTTTTAATGTTTAATAAATAAAAACTAAAATAATTTATTTTTAAATTAGTCTTTTAATGCTTAATAAATAAAAACTAAAATAATTTGTTTTTTTTTTAAATAAAATAATTTGTATTTGTTTAAAATTCACAAATCACCAATACAAATTAATTATTTTAAAATTCAAAAATCACCAAATTACAATAGTTTCGATTAAATAATTTGTTAATTGTTTTATTTGTTCCTGGCCACGATACAGTAATTGAATTATACTCCGTATTATACATTTGGCAGTAATTAAATTATTTTAATACTATACATTAGCAGTACTATTGTTAGATGGAAAAAGTAAAATATATTACGCATATCTAATTTGAAGGTGGCTGTGATGAAGTCTGCGAGAAGTCTTATTAATCTCTTTGACCTAAACAAGGAATCTGATTGTTTAATAGGAAACAAATTAGTAAATTAAATTATTTCAGTTTTTATTTATTAAACATTAAAAAAACTAATTTAAAAATAAACTATTTTTAAAAAAATGCCATATATGCATCCTATGTGGAGGGTAACCTGTTAGCAACTTGAGAAACCTGAAAAATTGGACAAACTGAATAAAATTGGTTAGTTTAGGGACCCAATTGTAGATTTTTTAGGTTCAGTAGCCTAATTGCATTCTCGTGTGCAGTTTAGTGGCCTATTTAATTTGACCATTATTCCTTATTTTTATTACTACTACTACTGTTGTTGTTGTTATTTTAAATTGTAATTTTTTTATTAGATAATAATAATAATATGAACGTCATTTTACATATTAACCATTAATCTAAAAAATTAATTTTACCAAATATTTTTTCACAAACTGCTGATACAATCTGCTAGTCAAATAAACCCGCTAACACAATCTGCAATCTAATATCTACTAACCGCTATCAAAAACACGAGCAAGCAACTTGGAAGTTTGGTTGAAATAAATGATGGAGAAGAGGTGACATATTGGACAACATTTGATAACGCGTCTAATATATCGCTATGTACGTGTGAAATACTCAAGTGCAGACCTGGAATTATTATGCATACAATGGAAATACTACTGGCTGTATAGTAGTTTTGACTATATATCTATTTGGTTACCACTCCAATACAGCATAACCCAACATCATATCCCATCTGGTAGTGGATGTTAATTAACTTCAACTCATGCTGCGCTCAACACTACCATATGAATTGAACTTGAATTGTCACAATTATTAATTATATTGCAAGTGCAATGTATTTCAGAGGGATGAAAAAAAAACCAGCGAGCTGAGCTAGAAATGGTCATATGATTATTTTTCTGTCAACTTTGGTATGTATGAGATTTAATGTCCCGTGACGTTTGGTCTGTAGTTTGGATCAACCTCTGCCTGTAGTCTAGGTCTAAGAAACGTAGTCAAGACTTCAGGCTGGAAATTAGTATCAGATCTGTTCATATCATGACCTTGACTTTCTGTGCCTCACTGCTCCACTCTCTTTGCCAATTGCCATCATTCACACAAATGACTAAGGCTTTGTTTGACAGAGCTTATTTAAGAACTTATAGTTTATTTTAAGTTATTAATAAGCGCGCTATAAGTTCTGTTTTCAAAATAAGCTCGTAGTTTAAAATAAGAGTTTATTTTAAAACGCGAGGTAGCGTTTCAAAATAAGCTAGTAGCTTTCTAACTTTTTTTTTTTCCATATTTGTTCTCATTATTTTAAAGAAAATGACATTCTTTACCCTTCCCAGTTAAAATCTTTTTCTCTTCTCCTTTATTCCTAACTTTCACCGCAACAACAACAACAACAACAATATAATAATAATAATAATAATAATAATAATAATAATAATAATAATTATTATTATTATTATTATTATTATTATTATTATTATTATTATTATTATGAGATGAAGGAGATTCGCAATAAAATTGCTACTTCATTATGGAACGCTAGATCATGATTATGCTAATAATTTTATTTTAAAATGTTAATTTTTTTGAAGACAAAATGTTAAAGTTTAATAGGTAAGCAAACTAATTTAAATTTTATGAAGATGTCCTTTTTAGTCTTTTTACATTTATCAGCTTATCAAAAAGCTACTTTTACCAAGCACTTTCAAACATAACAGCTCTTCGGTTTTTAGCTCCTAGCTTATAGCTTTTCAATTTTTCAGCTTTCAGCTATTTTTTCAGCTAGGTTTGCCAGACATAGCTTAAACTTATCCTTATATCTACAAGGTGGTCATATTTTCACATTATTAAATGAATTAATTTCACTTTTGGTCTCACGACTTTTGAAATTCTATCACTTTTAGTGCACAATTTTAAAAAAATTTTTAATATAATTTTGATGCCTTTGTTATATTTATCAGTTTTGGTCATTTTGGCCAAATTGACGGCGAAATGTTGCCAGATTTTATATTTTAGATGTAAAGATCTTCAATATCTAAATAAAAACCATTGTAAACTCATATTTTTGAGTGCTTGATCGATGAGAATAATGAGAAAGACGGGCAGAAATTAGACACAAATCTATGAGATTTATAGCGTCGAAGATTGGCAAACCCTTCTTTTTCTCTTAATATGAATTTTCTTTTGTTTAGATATTTAAGATCTTTCCTTGTGATGATGATTTTGCCCCTAAAAATATAAAATTTCGCAACATTTCACTATCAATTTGGTCGGAAGGACCAAAACATATAAATATAACAAAGTTATGCACTAAAATTGAAAAAAAAAAATTAAAGTTGTGCACCAAAAATAATAAGATCCCAAAAGTTGTGGGACCAAATTAAACGTGAAATTAATTCTTATTTTTATTTTTTTTAAAACAAATTAATTCTTATTAAATTTGTGATTATTTCATTATTTTTCTCTTTAATCCTATAATTCCAACTCAATTTTAAAAGTAAGTCTGAATTTCAATCTCTCTATAATTTCAACAAACTTTTAATAATACTAATGATTTAAAAAGATAGAAAACAAGTACTAAAGCTGCAAAATTGCATCTATTATACTTGTTTGTAATAACAAAACAATTTTAAAAAATAAAATTGATTTGGCCTTGCAAGTGCCCCATCACAGGGTTGGGGCAGCCTAATACTACATATGCATGTAATTTAATTTTAGAAAAAGAGTCAAATACGCCTTAAACTTTATCTGAAAATGTAATTAAGTTCTTAAACTTTTAAAAAGTACAATTAATCACTCAAACTTGTTAAAATGAGTCAAATAAATTTGATTTAGCATTAAGATGAAACAGAGAGAGTATTCAAATAATTTTTTTCCACCAATTATTACACTTAGCTTGTAGCATGTGATATATATGATGGGTCATATTTATTTTATTTTCGTTAACAATTTATAAATTAAATAAGTTTATTATGAGTAAATTATATAATGCTTTGTTATAAACAGATACTACATTGTAATAGAGTGAGTACCATTCAAAAAAATATAATGCTTTGTTCATATTTAGGATTTAATTTTTTTTTAATCTACCATATAATAGTATATTCAAAGATGACAGCTATTTTGGTAACCACTCCCTCCTGCAAATGAAAACATTGGAAAAGGGGAGAAGAATGAAAACATTGGAACACTTATTTTTCAAAGTCATCCAATCCTATGTTTCAAGTCAACCACTAATCAAAATGAAACACGACCATACCTCTTTATTGTTTGCACCTAACTTCTTTATCACTTCCACATTTTCTTCTCATATTATTTTGCTTTCAGATTACTGACACTTCAACACTGAACTATTTTTAGTCTCAAATAATGATGTCTTGTGTGCATGTGTGTGCTTTATCAGATGATATTTATTATTAAAATTTGTATTTTGCTTATGTACTAATTAATAATTCTAGCAATTAGATTTGCAAATAGCAAAACAGATACTATCAAAATCCCATGTCAATATAATTTTACCACCAAAAATATAAATCAATATATATACGGAGTAGAATTTAAGATAATTATATTTTAGTTAATAATCAACATGAAAAAAGAATAAGAAAAAAGTTTGGAGCAACCATAGTAAATACATTAACTATTTATAATGTTCAAAGTATGGAGCAGACGTAATACATACAAAAAAATAATGTGCCACCTTACTCTTTTTAAGTCACGTTTACAGAGTTTTTTGATAAGGTTACGTTAAATCTTCATTTATAGAATTATATTAGCAATTCACTTACTAATTGATTTAAGATGTTAGATGGATAAAATGTGAGTTTGAATTACGTGTTAGGACTATATTTAATTTGTTGGATTCTAATGTGACCAAAAAATTTATGTAACATCATTTTCATCTTGTGGAATTCTAGTGTAGAATTGCAAGGACTTCCTCATTGAGGTTTTTTCCAAATTTTTGTCTCTCTTTATTGGCCTATTGGACATGTGATTTAGGGCTTAAGTTTAGTCTATTATAAGTTAGGACATCTAATATATAAAAATAAAATTAAAAGGAAAAATTCAAAATGAATTTTTATTATTGTTGGTTGATATGTTTTAAGACCAGACAACCAGTCCAAACTCCAAACATGTGAGGCTACCCAGTAACCATGTTCTTACTGCTGTCCATTGGTGTCAAACAATTTGCAGAAACTAACATAAATAACCAACCCCCCAAGTTTTCTCTGTGTTATGGTTGACCAATTCAAGACTTCTTTTATGTGGGACCCAGACGTTATCTTGATCATTTACGAAAGCGTCTAGATCTGGGAATCTGGGCATCCTAATTAATTTTTTAACCTCTCAGTATTCCATATTTTTTTTGAATGCTACTAGCTCTATTACAATGTAGTATCTGTTCATATACTTTCTCAACCTATTGAAACACAAAGAGATAACACCTCCACTATGACTCAGTATTCCATATACTTACATAATTTTAACTAATTTAAACCAAATATATTAAGGTGACACTTGTGGGAGACACTTTCATAGACAATTATTATGTCATGGACTTAGATGCACCTTGCAAGGTGGACCCGGGTCTAAAACGGTATGGTTTTACTTCAAAACGACGACGTCTAAATTTTAAAAAAAAAAATTAATTAATTCCTTCCTTGTCGTTTGTTTGCAAAATCCGTTCATCTATGACTCTATATTCATCATTTTTGAACTCTATATTCACTCTTTTAGAATTGAATATTCACAATTTTAGATCTATTACAAAATTACATAACTCAATATTCAGAAGTGCATAACTATATATTCACAATTTTTGAACTCTATATTCACAACTACGGAACTCTATATTCAACCGTATAACACAATTTTTGAATCTATATTCACAATTTATGAAGTCTATATTCACACAAATATATATATATATATATATATATATATATATATATATATATATATATATATATATATATATATATATATATATCGACACTGTTATTCCAGACGTGCGTTTTGGACCTAGGTTCACAACAAAATTTGTCTTTCATAGATCCTTATTTGTAAGACGAATCGGATCAGAATGAAAATGTAATACTTATATTGAAAAAAATAACAATACTAGTTAGAAATAAATTATTTGTTACTTATAAGAAAAATCTTAATACTTTAAAAAAAATTATTAGTTTTAAATCAAATTTTAATACCATGATTATTTCTGCCATATGATTTATAGAGCATTACATGAGATATTATTTACCTATGCCAAGAATTGTGAAGACTTTGGAAAGTCAACATTTTTTCAATGATGCCCTAAAGCCACCATTAAAAAATCCTCCCCTTTTTATATTCCACTCCTCCAAAAACCAAAAACCATAGAAATTTCATTTTTTTTTATATGCAACGTCCCCAATAGTCCAATACCAAACAAAAATGAAAATCTCATACAACCCCATAGCTGCATTTCTAATCTTCTTCTTCTTCTTCTTCTTCAATCTTAGCCAACACTATGCCCAAGCCCAACCAAACACCACCGGCTATGCCTGCAATATCAACCAGAGCTATCCCTGCAAAACCTACGCTTTTTACACCGCCACCGCCCCCAATTTCCTCGACCTGGCCGCCATAGGAGACCTCTTCTCCGTCAGCCGCCGCATGATCGCAGAAGCCAGCAATATCTCCGCCGCAAACGCCACCCTCCAAGCCAACCAATCCCTCTTTATCCCCATCTCCTGTTCCTGCAACACCGTTAACTCCACTTTCGGTAGCATCTCCTATGCCCCTCTCGACCACACCATAGTTCCCGGCGACACTTTCTACAGAGTGTCCACCCTGGAATACGGAGACCTCACCAGCTTCCAATCCGCCATCGTCGTCAATCCCACGGCGGTGGTCACCGATCTTCAGCCCGGCGACCATATAACTTTCCCGATCTTCTGCAAGTGCCCCAATTCCACGGACTTGCAGAACCGGAGGAATCTCCTCATCACCTACCCGGTCCAGGTTTCCGACACCCCCGCGACAATCGCCGCAAAGTTCGGCACGACAACGCAGTCTTTGATCGATGTGAACGGGAACAACATAGGACCCAACTCCACCATTTTCGTGCCGGTGTCGCGGCTTCCGAACATCACGCAGCCCGCAACTTCCGCTCCGGCGCCGCCGCCGCCGCCTGCGGTGTCGCAGGTTGTACGGAACAGAGACAGGAAGGGCGCGGTTATAGCGCTGGCGATTCTGTTGGGGGTTTGCGTGGCTTTGCTGGTTGGGGTAATCGGGTTCTGGGTTTACAGGGAGAAGAAGAGGGAGAAGGAGAGGGGGAAGTACGCGGATGTGGCGACTAAGGAGAGTGAATTTGGGAAGAATAAGGAATCGTCGGTGGTTAAGGATATGGAAGTGAATCTGATGGCGGATGTTTCGGATTGTTTGGATAAGTATAAAGTGTACACGATGGAGCAGCTTTGGGAAGCCACCGATGGGTTTAACGATAACTGCTTGATTCAAGGGTCGGTGTACAAAGGCTCCATTGACGGCGATATGCTCGCAATCAAGAAGCTCAAATGGAATGCCCGTGAAGAACTCAAGATCCTTCAAAAGGTAAACTTTATACTTCAATTTTTTCACCCTCCTATTATATAATTAAGAGTAAATTTTAGTAAGTCCGCACGAACTCAGCTCAGGCGTTAAATAGACAATATTTGAAAGAACAAATAAAAGTTTGAACTCCGATAATAGTAGTGTCGAAATTATTTCTAAAGTTAGCATATTCATTAAACATTTAACATGTAATTTACATTATCTCAAATGCTCTATTGGGTCGAGGTATGAAGAATACTTGGAATTGAGAATTTAACATTTAAAAAAGAGTAAAATTTCACTCAAGATTCTCCGAATTTGAAACATGTCATTGGTCCCTGGATGGGTGGGACAGGGAGCAGGGTCATGTTCTCAGGCCTGCACCTGCACCCGATTCTATATCTTGTTGTCTAGCGAGAATAGAGAATTACGGAGTATTTCATTCCCCTTTTTTATGAAATTTTTGTTGAAATTCAATTCTCTCAAATGTCTGGTCATCAGAATTCAATTTTATGACCGCATATTTAGAATGGTAACAAAAATATCATCACACTACATATTAGTTAGTCTAAATTGTCATTGTTCCATATATATATGATCACTATATGATATATATATATATATATATATATATATATATATATATATTTATATAAAGAGCTTGCATTATTATCAATATTACATATATAATTGGATACCCAATTCAATGATTCAATGTATGAATCATGCTTTATTCTTTTAAATTTATTTGTCACATTCTTGAATAACAAGAATGACGGCTATTACAATTTTTTTAAAATGATTTTTTTTTTATAATTGAAATAATAATTTTATTTTCATTACTTATTAAAATGTTACCGTTGGTTTTCATTTAAAATAGTTTGTATTCTTATTTCACACTATTTGGTGTACTTGAATTTTTTATTTAAAATAAATGTTTTAAATTGTATTCAAAATAAAATAAAACTTAACAACCTTTTTGGGAGGATTTATATTTATGGTCTCCAATAATATTTTTAATGTTTAACCGGTAACCCAAGATAAAAAGTGGGAACCCTTTATAGAGAGAGAAATGATTTATAAAAAGAATTAATTAAGTGTAATAATTAATTGTTAATTATTGATAAAACAATGGTTGGCTAGGTTTAGCAAGTGATCTGTCTTTTTCTTCTAGCTAGCTTTCTAGGCATGAGAGGTACTCCGTATTTAAATAAATACAATATTTAATTCTTCATTTCATCATGCCACATTGCCACTAGTCCACTGCTTTGAAATTTATTATACACAAAAATATTATTAAATTCATTTCTTTATGTCAAAATTATTGTATCTATTCACTGCTTTTCCCTTTCCAATTTATTTATTCTTCTATATATTTCAGTTTTTGTCCTTTAGTGTAATTCTAGTTTCTTTAAATATTTTTTTTCCAGTGTGACGTGTTAGGATTATAACTAGAAGTTTCCTGTGCTATGCAAATTCTTGATCATTCAAAAATATTAGTGAAAAAATAACAATAGTTGTTACTATCTCCACCTCATATTCACTATTCCTTTTGAATTAGATTGAAATAAAAGTTAAATTGACTCCTATTTTTTGAAAAAAATAGTATTTGTTTGCGACTTCTATATTTGAGAAGAGTTTAGATGTTTGGGGTAAGAGAAGAGTTTAGATGAGAATATGTTTTCATGTAAAAAGTTAGAGCTGATATGATTCATTCATATGAATATATAAAGTGTGGGTTACTGAAAATAAGAAAAAAATGTGAGGTCATTTTTATAAATATTAAAAATTTCAGTAATTGTAATTATAAAATTGATGGGCAGTTGATAAATACAAAAATTCACAATCACTATTTGTATGTGCACTGAGTAAATATCATTTTTCTTTGTATAATAACTTGTAAATCACATAGGAGAAGTAAATTACACTAAAAAAATTGTGCAACCTTATTCAATTCGAGTGATGTTGGGGTGCCTTTTCTTTAGAGATTTAAAAGACAATAAATAAATTATAATATGTGTCTTCACAATTCATAAATTTTCCCACTAGCTAAATAGATAAACTAGATTAGCTATGTGTGGGATTTTATAATGATATCATATTATATCAATCACCTAACGTTCTAGCATATTTGCATAAAAAATGATGATTGGAATTGGTTCAATAATTTCTCTCATCATTTCATCAATGCATGCATGATGGCTTTGGCTGGATCTGCTATGCATAGAATCCCTCTCCCAACACAAAAAATAAAAATAAAAATAAAAACTAGAGATTCTTAACTAAGACCTAGACAAATATATGATTCTAGAGTAACCTGCATGTTAAGTTACTTAAGAACATAAATTTGTAATCACAAAGTTACGAGTTTCAATATCAACTTTATAAGTTATGGCCACTCACTTATAGATAATAATCTATATTGGTTTACTTCCTTATTCTTGTGGAGCTAAGATCATAAATTCAGATTATTTGATATATTGACTATAGATTTCCCTAATCACTCCAATATATGATTCCTAACTAAGACCTAGACAAGTATATGATTCTAGAGTAACCTGCGAAGTTAGTTAAGGATATAATTAAACTTGTAACCATAAGGTTAGGAGTTTCAATCTCAACTTTATAAGTTAGTCAGTTATAAATAATCTATACTGATTTGCTTCCTTATTCTTTTAATTTAGAGCTAAGATTATAAACCAAGTTTAACATATGACTACAGATTTTCTCGTCACCCCAAATATACGATTCCAAATATAATTTGCAGGTAAACCATGGGAGTTTGGTGAAGCTGGAGGGGTTCTGTATAGACCCAAAGGAAGCCAATTGCTATCTGGTGTACGAGTACGTGGAGAACGGCTCACTCCATTCATGGCTGCACGGCGGCGACCGGAGCGAGAAACTGAGCTGGAAAACCCGGCTGAGCATCGCCACCGACGTAGCCAACGGCCTCCAATACATCCACGAGCACACCCGCCCCCGCGTCATCCACAAGGACATCAAGTCCAGCAACATCCTCCTCGACGCCGCCATGCGCGCCAAGATCGCCAACTTCGGCCTCGCCAAGTCCGGCTGCAACGCCATCACCATGCACATCGTGGGCACCCAGGGCTACATCTCCCCGGAATACCTCGCCGACGGCGTCGTCTCCACCAAGATGGACGTCTTCGCCTTCGGCGTCGTCCTGCTGGAGCTCATCACCGGCCAGGAGGCCATGGACGCCGACGGGAGGGCGCTGTGGGGTAAAGCCCTCGCCGGCCCCGGCGCCGCCAAGGGGAGCGAGGAGAGGAAAGCGGCGCAGGTGAGGGAGTGGATGGATCCGTGTCTCGCTAGGGAATCTTGCTCCATGGAGAGCGTTAGTAATGTGATGGCGGTTGCGGTTGCGTGCTTGAATAAAGATCCTTCCAAACGCCCGACCATGGTGGATATTGTGTACGCTTTGTCGAAGAGTAATGATTTGTTCTTCGATGTCTCCGATGACGGGTTGTCGTCGGGACCTGTGACGGCCAGATAAGATGATGATGAAGAAGACGACGCACCAGATCAGAGTTCCCGGCCTATATACATATAGCCAATGTATGTATTAAAATCTTAAAATAATTTTTGAGTTTTGGAAACATGTAATATGAGCTGAGGTTTTGTTAGTTTTTGGTGAAGATTGACAGGTGGCAAATGCATAATAATCAATTTATATGTAAAGTAAATAAGAAAAAAAAATGTTATGACATTCTCAAGATCGACCTAGCTAAGAATAATCACTACTATAAATAAAATGGAGGGTCATATATTTCTATAAATGACAATGTTATTTAGTTCTCAATATTTATTTTAATTTAATTATATTGTGATAATAAAATTTGTTTATATTTGTTTGTTGTCCATAGTCAATTTTCATGGTTGCAAAAATCGCGCCTAGGCGGCTGCCGGCCGCTGCGAGGAAGGCCAGAATTGGCCTCCTCCGTGGCTGCCCAGTTCGGCGAGTTTTTTCTATTTTTTTTTAAATTTTTTAAATTTTTTTTTTTGCGTGGTAAAGTTTGAAAAGTTTAGGAGGCATAACTTTTGGCTCGGTTGTCTGTTTTGGGCAATTTTTTTTTTTAAATCGCGTATTTTTTAGAGATCTATCCACCGCAAACGCCAAAGGCGGTTTGGTCCACTAATTTCTAAAAAAAATGCTTCTTTTGCCCTTAATTTTAGTTTTTTTTTATGTATTTAGACGGTTTAAACAATCTTTTGAACACTTTTACAACCACTTACTTAAATAGTTTGTAAGAAATAACTATGGAAACCTTATGTGTTATTACTAAATTTTAAAAAAATTTAATTTTTAACTAAAAAAATAAAATAAAATAAAAAATCGGCGCCTAACGCTTTTTGCAACATTTTCAATTTTATCGCAAATAAAAACGAATGAATTTACTTATTATTAGAACACAATATGAATCAACATCATTTAAATAAAGAATGTATCAATTAATACTCATCTTTTTTTTTTTTTTTTTTTTTTTTTTTTGTAAATAGAATGATAGTTATACTTTTACTTTTTACAAAAATGTTACAACCCCTTTGTATTTATAGTAATAATTACCATTTTTTTTTTTTTGACATTAGAATGTATGTTTTTGTGTAGGAATGATATATATATTATATATCACAAACTATATCCAATGTGAAAAGTTAGGATGACATATATCAATTTTAGAGATAGTCTTATGTGTTAATAATATTGGTTAAACCTATTACTCCGTATATTTAGTATTATCACTAGGGATGACCATTGTCCCTAAACTTGACAGAAAATTCAATTCCTTGCTTTGACAATGATAAGGAACGGGAAAATTTTGAGAAATAGGGATGGGAATATGAACATAGACGACAACATGGATTACTCTATAATTTTTTTTAGTGTTAGGAGACATTTTTCTGCTTCCTATATATTTAAATAAATAAATTGTATATATAGACCCTTAAACACAACCCTATTCTTTTAGATATATTCTCATTGTTTTGTTTTTTGTTTTTTGTTTTTTAAATAATTAAGTGTTGGTGTTGACCGTGAAATTTAAAGAGAAATGAGAAAGATGGAAAAAATTTGAGAAAGAGGCGTTATGTTCTTTTATTTTTCTTTGTAAAATAATTTAATGTTAATTAAATTTTTTTCTTTTTCATAATTGGAGATTATTTGTCTACGAATAATCTTTGTAAGGGTACAAATTGGGAAGAGATTTATTTTCTTGGTGGAGACGGGGCAAGGAGTGTGGTTAGGGAGGAAATTTGGTAGCAGAGATAGCCGAACAGAGATATACCTTGCATATTCTTTACCTTGTGATCATCTCTAATTAGAGCATTCTTTTGCACAATATTTAAGAAGCCAAGTAGGAGAGGGAGGGAGGAGAGAAATGAAGAAAAAACACAAGGGGAAAAAAAAAAAAAAAGAGAACAACATTCTGACACAAAAGAAATGCCTTCTCTATCTCTTCTCTTATTGAATTTCACAAAAAATCTTACCTTGCATGAGATCAAAATGCCTTCTCTCTCATTCTCTATTATCCACCTCACCTTGGGCCGTAAAAAAAAACTAACATTCTAAATACCTTGTATGATTAGGTATGTCATAAATAATTGTACTTGATAATGTTAGAGAAAAAGAAATCAATTTTAATGTGAGTTATTATGATTTTGAGAGTTATCATCATTGGTCGGTCGGTAAAAAATGAAGAAGGAACATCGATAAGAAACTTTACGAGCCCTTATGCAAATGTCCAAATTTTAGTACAAATGCTAAAACAATCATTCAAGCCAATCTGGTATATAAATCCAAAAATGCACAACGTACAAAAGGGACAGCCTCCCTATCCTCAAAAAGTGTAAATTGCAATATATATTAGAGCAAACCTATTACTGATTTTTTGCTGTTTTTTTTAAGGTTTTTTAATTTTTTTTTTTTTTTGCTAGTGTAGGAAGTGGTTTTTAGTTGGGTTTTTTTCTTTCTTTTTCTTGTAATTGTGAGTCCCGCAAGAGAGAAAAATAGAGGAAAGATACTGCATTTATGCATGTTTGGTACATATCTCGTGTCTAGTCGGACGCGTTAAACTGTACTTTTCTTTTTAATATTTTGTTTTCAGATTTTGTTTTTGTTTTTTGTTTTTCACTCTTCTCTCTTCTTTACCTTTCTTAAGTTACCTGCAAAAACCAAGAAAAAATCAAAACAAATGAGGTTGCTCTTAGTTGTTCAAAAGCGTAATCACTTGCTTACGATTTGGGAATTAATCTTTTAAATTGTAATTTTACAATTCATCAGTTACATATAATCTTGGTCTCATTACAAATTGATTAATTGAATTACATGTATAAATTTATCTGCGTTCAACGTTTTTCTCTGATGAAAAAAATAAAAGGTACAATTAAAATATTGACTACAATTTTTTTGTTTTGAACTTCGGTAACATGCTATGCTACATCGTAGTAATTCTGGGAAGCGAGAATTTGTTGGACACATGTTTGGAGAATCTAATCTTGAAATATAGCGCTAACTACTACACAAGTATAAGAAAATAACATTATTTTTTACTACTAATTGTAACTTTTAGCATAGTGATAAACAATTGATCCTCATAGAATTATTGTGCTTTTGTAATTTTTTTAAAAAAGAATCTTTACATTGTGCAATATGTGCATCACTTGGCTCTTGAGTTGAATGAAAGTAGCTCTATCAAATGGGAAATAAAAAGAAAAAGAAAGAGAAGATGGGGAATATAAGGATTTGGAGGAATAAAGGGGTGGAAGTGAGATTAGAGAAAAGTTTGAGGAGTGCAGGAGAAAAAAACATTCTGCGAAAATCATGTCGCTTTTTAAAAGCAGACCACAGGGCACGAAAGACAAACACGGACATTCCCATTTCAGCCTAACCTTCGAAGCCTCAACTCTCTCCTTTCTCTCGCTATCCCTCTCCGTCTTCTCGCCGGAAAAACTTAGGGGCTTCCCGGAGGCGCTCTGACATGGCGAACAACCCGCCGGAGGGGTATGCCGGGGGTGACGACTTCCTCGAGCAGATACTCGCCATCCCTTCCTACGCCGGCCTCTCCGTCACCGACGTCGGCGGCGCTTCTTCCGACACCGCTTCCACCATCTCCCAGCTCAGCTCCGCCGCTGGCGGCCTCCAGCAGCAGCTGTTTCCGCTCGGGTTGAGCTTGGATAACGGCCGAGATGACGTCAGCGACACCGGAGGCTTTGCTGTGAAGCCTGTAAGCCTGGCGACAGTGGTCGTAATTCGTGGAATTTGAAATGAAAAATCGAGTCTTTTTTTTGGGTCCTGAAATTTGTGATTTTTTTCTTGTTTGTTTGCAGGAAAGAGAAGCAGTGAACTTGGGGAATTTGTATTCAGGGCTGGAACATTTGCAGCCTCATACTGTTCGCCATACTGTTCCGGCAGTTCATCAAGTCCAGGTTAAATAATCAATAATCCCTGGATTTTCTTTGAAATTTTTGTTGAGAAGTTGCTTATATAATGTTAAATTAGCTACTGGGTATCTTTCTAGGCATGTTTGTTAATGATTGTATTCATTTGTGTGAGAGCATATATTCTTGTGGCTTAAAGTTGGCTCCTGAAAATCAAGAAGGACAGAAAAGGTTGTCTGCTTTTAGTTTAATTTGAGTTAGTTGTTGATTACAGTTTGGTGGTTTCTTGCTCTTGAGAACTGTGGAATTTGAACCATTTGTCTATAAAGGATGTCATAGATCTGAATCATAAAGAAGAGTTTGATAGCGTTTATGTTTCATACATCTTCTGATTCACTGATTTTCATTGCTTGAGAGAGTGATAGTTTCTTGTTTGTGCTTTGCCACATATAATTGATCGTTCTTGATTCTTAAAGTTTTGAACTTTTCTAAATCTATCACTTGAATTCTCGTGGACATCTTTTCCATTTTATCAAATAAAACCTTAACAGAAGCTATATATCAATTTTATGTTATGATATTCTTTTAAGATGCTAACTTCTCTAGTTTCATTTCAGCCTTTTCAAGGCCAACCAACACCGAGCACAGCGGTTACTGTCCCACACCCACCAGCTATCCGACCTAGGGTTCGAGCACGAAGAGGACAGGCCACAGATCCTCACAGTATTGCTGAGAGGGTAATATTATTTATACAAACATGCTATATGGATAGGTTTGAATAGCGATTTTAGTTATATATTGAAATGATTTACACCTCGTTTCCAGTTACGAAGAGAGAGAATATCGGAAAGAATAAAAGCTCTGCAGGAACTTGTTCCCAGCTGTAACAAGGTTAGTACTTTTTGTTTGTCACTTGCTAATACGTGAAGAACCAGAACTTAAATTAACTCGTTTTAGTCAGTGTGGTAGTGAAAGTTCGAAACTTTTTCTTGCCAGACAGATAGGGCTGCAATGCTGGATGAGATTCTGGATTATGTGAAGTTCCTGCGTCTTCAAGTTAAGGTAACGTGATATTATACCACAGATATCCGAACTAATTCTGTAGTTATGAAGTCACTCTAGGGTGATTGGAAGCTCTTAAGATAGTATATGTTTGTAGTGATCAGTTGATTAAATATCGGAACAAGTCACAAGTGTAGATCCTCCAAACTAGTCAATTGGTTGAGCAAATATATATTGAAATTATTTTAAGCACTAGCCGAACCTTTTGGGTGACGAGGAAAACTCGTAACCACTACCTAAGGATGTGCATTGGGTAAATCCCGTCTTGTGACCCTAGCCGGCAAAGGACTACAAGGAGGTACACCAGCCTAGGTTGTCCATAGCTGACCAGCTCAAACCAAGAAGGCCAATAGGCCGCTCTCTCTGGCCCCCGGGCTGCCGGGAGTTGAATTTGTAACTTTGACCCATGAGACCCACCGGTCTATCTTTGTTTAATAAAGCAAACAATTTCTTATTTTTTAGCACTATTCTTGCAATATGTTTTTGGGAAAAAAGATGGAACTCTCTTTTCATTTTGACTTGAAATTTTTTGGTTTTACCAAAGATTCCATCTTTCTCGGAGTTCGATAAACATTAGGACTAGGAGTTCATCTTTTTGGGAGATTCTTATTACTTTCTTGTGACATTTACCACTTGAAAGATAACCGAAACCTTTCCCATAACATTGGAGACATCCTACAAATTGATTCTTGTCCTGTTAACCATAACACTGGAGACATCCTATGAATTGATTCTTGTCCTGTTAACCAAACTTCATCTAATAGACTCATACCTTTTACTGTTCATTCCTTGGAATTGCCGACATCTATCCTATTGATCTCAACTCTGCTAATACTTCTCGTTTGACTTGTTAAAGGTACTGAGCATGAGTAGGTTGGGTGGAGCTAGTGCGGTGGCACAACTTGTTGCAGACATTCCACTGGAGTCTGTTGAGGTGATTGAATTCCCCGTTTTTCATCGTTTTATTATAATGATAACTTGTGTTGATCCCCTTCACCTATACCGCTATATTTTACAATATATCCAGGGTGAAAGTGGCGAAAACCGAGCTAACCAGCATGTTTGGGAGAAGTGGTCAAACGCTGAGACAGAAAGGGAGGTAGCTAAGCTGATGGAAGAAGACGTCGGGGCAGCTATGCAGTACCTCCAGTCGAAATCGCTGTGCATCATGCCGATATCGCTTGCTGCACTCATCTACCCGACTCACCAATCGGATGACTCCTCGGCCATAAAGCCCGAACCATCTGCCCCGTCTTAGACCCCATACCCGTTGCACGTGCCTAAGCGAGCTCCTAATGGCCCCCCCGTGTCCCGTTCCCCTTTATATCTCTTATCGTCATCACTTCCATTCCATGGCAGTGCAAATCAAAGTCAGATGCCACAATTTTGCTTTTTAGCACAGCCATTGGGCACTTTTGTCAAACAAGGTATGATGTCACAGCTTGAAGAAGAAAGGCAGAAAAGCACTTAATATCCATTATTAACATGCTCAAAAAGAGGTGAGCATATTATTCAAACTTATCATCTATCATTCTCTACTACTCAGCCTTTCCTTTTAGTTTTTTTTTTTTTAATTTTGTGGGATGGTGGGGACATTTTGTTTTGTATGATGACATTATAAAAGCAGTGAGTGGTAGGTGTAAGTAAGTAAAATTGTATTTTAAGTTTAATCTGTTGGAATGGATGATGCAAGTGGAATTTGTACCATGTTGCTTCTTGTCTGTCTGTCTTCCTGTCTCTGATGTGGTCTGTACTCAATTCAAGGTGGACTTTGCCGCAATTCTTTGCATATTTTCCACTTCCCACTTATGATTAGAATTAGATCATGAGAAGGGACTTGGACTCCACTCCAATTATCTTTTGTTTTGTTTTGTTTTGTTTTGTTTTTGTTTTTTTTTTTTTGTTTTGTTTTTGTTTTTGTTTTTTTGTTTTTTTTTAATTCTCTCCCAACTCGAGTTACTATTGGACCTAATTTAGAGCATTTTGAACCGGCACATTAACACTAAAGAGAATTTGCCCTCTACTTTTCTTATCCTTTTTTTTTTTTTTTTTTTTTTTTTTTTTATGCTATATTGTTACTTGCATTTTGCTCGCACGGGCTTTGTTCACTGGTTTAGTAGGCAATATTTAAGAGACGAGATTAAAGTTCAAACCTCGACAATGTGCGCACCAGCATTTAACTTTGTCCATTGAGTCCTTGAGGTTTGGGATTCAACTTGATGGCGATATTGGACATGGGCTGAAGGCTTATTGGGCTAGCGTTGTTGGGCCGCAGATGGATCAAGGGAAATGTGGGGTGCCAAATGGAGGTGGGTTGCCGACAGAGGTGGTCGGTGGCCGACGATCGAGGGTGGTCGCCAGCTGGGGCGCTGGCCCTAGCCAGCGACGACGCGTGGCTGGGCGCGACCCCAATGCCCACTTGCGTGGGGACGGCACGCGATGTCGTGCCCAACGCGGTTGGCGCGCGCCCTCGCGCGTGGGCCATATGCGACGCGGGGGTGGGTCGGTCTATGTGCGAACGCTCCAGGGGTGGTGTGTCGGTGTAATAGGCGCATGGGGGACGTGGCGAGTGTGGTGGGGCAACGTGAGACATGTGGCGTCGATAGAGGAGTGTTGATGCCAGTCGTACACATGGACGGTGCAAGGTGTGGGGGTCAGGCTATAAATAGGGTGCCTGGACTCCTGGCATGGAGCAAGCACAGAGACACGATAGTCACACTAGTCTAGTGGTCTTGGTCTCAAACTCTCAACTATTTCAGTTAGGTTCGATTCTTCAATAGTAGCATTGTTAGCTATAGCCCACCTTCTGGGCCTCACTTTATATTTGGGCCTGTACCTCGAGCTTTGTACGCATTGTTTTGAGCATAGCTCCCCGGATAATAAGGTTACTCTTTCTTAACCCCGTTCTGTATTTCTATACTCGTTTTATGGTAGATTCGGTCCCAATAAAATTATTACAACCTTTTGGGAGAAGTATTGGTTGAGGCGTAGTTATGTTATATGTATTCAAACTTTTAGCATTATACTTAAACGTCTCAAATTATTTGATTTTACATCTTTTGGTATCTACATTTGGGTGAGAAGGGAAAATCGCATCATCTATTTGAAGGTTGATTGTTTATTTACTTTGTTTATTTGAGTGGTGAGGGAAACTCATAGTTATTGTTCGAGGGTGTGGATTGAATAAATCTTGCCATGTGATTATAGTTGGCAAAAAAATCATAAAGAGGTAAATCAATTTAAGTTATTCTTAATTTATCAGCTCAAATCAATAAAGTTAATAAACCTCCACTAAAAATCGAACTTATAATTTTGTAGTTACAAAATTATCTGATTGAAAATTTGTGAAAGTGCACTAAAACTCTTTTTATTAGCTAATACTACCTTTTGGTATCTATTTTTTGGATGAAAGAGGAAAATCATTTGAAGGTTACCATTTGTTTACATAATACTTTTTTATCTTTACAAAATGTGAGAGTGCAATAAAACTTCTTTCATGGTTTGCTTTACCGGCAAAAGTGGTGGTCAATTCTCAATAGCTGTTTGGAAAAGAGTTAAAAAAATTTCTTTTTCAAGCAGATTGCTTGTAGAAAAAGTGTTGCAACATTTACGCCTGGTTCACGGCGTAAAAAGATAAGATTATAGAAAAAAAATTTACCAATAATTTTAAGCACTAAAACCATTTTAAAATAAAATAATTTTAGAGTGAGTGTGGCTTTACAGCTCTCTATTTTTCACTGCATTTCTTTGTCGCATGAGTTGGGGAAAATAAAACTATTTTTTCTACTAATGAAAATACTTTGACTATTCATTTTTTTTTTTTAAAAATTAGTGAACCCTTTAATTTAGTAATATCAAGGAAAGATTCTAGATGATGAAAACATCCGAGAAAATAAGCATTTTCCTTTTAGAATTACATAGAAAATACCTTGTATTATCAATACAAAAATATTATTAATATCTTATAGTCTACTTTCACTTTTCTTCTTAAAATGGTATAATTAAGAACAATCATTAATGCTGTTAAAATTGGCCGATTTTGCTTATATAGCATTAACATTATTATTGTCACGTTAACATGATATGATGTGTCACAGGTACTTTAACCCTTACAGGGCGTTTGGTTGGAGGGAGGAATTATGTGGGAAAGGAATTGTAATTCCATGGGAGTTGAACTACTTGGAATAAAGTGAGAATTTAAATTCCAGTGTTTGGTTGAGAGGAATAAAATTATTAGGAATTTCAATTCCAATGTTTGGTATACATGGGAATTGAAAGGGAATAAGTAGTATAAAGTCAAAAATGTCCATTATTGTTGTTAGACATTAATTTTAAGTTAAAAAAGGAAGGGGTAATTTTGACTCATCACTATTTTTTTTCCCAAGAATTAAAATCCCATTGGGGGGGGGGGGGGGGGGGGGGGGGGACATGGGATTTTAATTCCATGAAAATTGAGGAATTGCAATTCCCTCAAACCAAACTACGGAATTTAATGACCTTTGGAATTAGGTGGGAAGGGAATTTAAAATCTCTCCAACCAAACGGCCTGTTAAGGGGGGTGTTTAGTTTAGGAGAAGGTTTAAGGTAATATAACATTCTTATGAATCTCACACACTCTAAACATGTGGAAGGAGTGTGATTTTCATGAATGTTACAAAAAATGAACTAAAAAATAATGTTTGGGAATCTCACACCCCCTTGAACAAAACTAGGGAATGTAATATAATATTTATATTTCTGGAGTTCTATGGAATAACCTGAATCAAACACCTCTTAAACCAACAAATTTTGGGCACAAGTCAAAAATCAAAAAGTAAAAGTAACGCAATGCAAATATAGAAACTTAATTTTGAAAAGCGTATGCTTAAGCAATAATTGGGTTTGCATAGTTTTATAATGTCTGAAAAACATGTGTGGAACAAAACTATGAACAAATTTGAACAACACTTGTAGAACCTACACAACATTTGTAAAGAGTATTGCACGTTAGGGTATGCCCTACTATGAAACATGTTAGATGGAATTAACTGACCGGGGTATGCGTTTATATGGATCAACAAGCTCACATAAATTAAATGAATGAAAATAGAAAGAATAATAGGCAATCAATTACATGAAATTGTGCTGGTATTAGATGAAATAGAGCCAAAGTATTACAAGTAGATTATAAGAATGAGACAAGATATGCCTGGCAGGAAATTGAACATGATTTGTAATGTCAAGACAATGCAATATTTATACCATACCTGGACCAACAAAATCCCATAAAGTTATGGTGTGCCACAAAAACACATAAAATACATTATTCTAACTCATAAAATTAATATATTATTCGAACACAAAGTACATTATTTTAACTTATAAAATACATTATCTTGCCCCATAAATTTCATTATTCTAACACATAAAATACATTATTCTAAGACATAGAGTACATTATTCTAACTTATAAAATACATTATCTTAGCTCAGAATATACATTATTCTAACACGTAAGCGGAATAATAATTTTTTTAAAAAATCAAAACGACGTCATTTTTTGGACCGTAGTCTACACACGGTCTATACAGTTGTATAAACTACGATCCACAGAATAATTTGAGGATAGGGTACATGGCCAATATTTTTTTACCTAAATTGGTCTATAAGTTCGTGGCCCAATAATATCAGAACCGAAGTTCTGGGTCAAATTACAACCTGTTCCTTTTCCCATAGACGGTAAATCCTGAAGATACTAAATCCAATTCTAGGATTTCTAGCCCATTCAACAGTCGATAGTTGGATCGTATCATCATTGACAAAATCCCCTCAGCCTTTATTCAGTTTTTTTTGTGCCGTGAATCATGCACCGAAGCTGTTCGACGTATTACCCCGTGCATGGGAAATGGTCCACTAACTGGTTTCATCTAATGTATTATGTGTGGTTTTTTTTTTTTTTTTTTTTTTTTTTTTTCAGGCTACGGACACTGGTCAAAGTTTGATCTTTTACTGTGTAAAGAGGCATTTCACATAATTTGCTGCAATTCATGTCAATTGCATAAATCAGAGACTTAATGGATGGTTCTTCAGAAAGGTATACTGTTGCTATTAAGCTTCCTTTCTTCAGCTTAATTTATTTATTAAATCTCAACACCTATGGAAGGTATGGACTATGGAGTCTTTCATTTTTGTGTTTGGCCAACTTTTTTTTTTTAGGTCACGAGAGAAATTCGTAATCATTGCCAGTGTATCTTGCCTTGTGACCCTAGCCAGCAAAGAGCATAAGAAAGTAAGCCAACCTAAATTGGGTTGCCTATATCTGACCCACTAAAACTAAGAAGGCCAATTCCCGCCAACAAGTCAACAATCTGACTAATTTGATTGCGATTGTCCCGTGTTTGGCCAAAATTGATCACATATAAGGGAGAGTTGATAAAAGGCCAAAAAATTGGTGATGGCACATGCTGACAGTGTTTGGCAAATGAGCTACAAACAATAGTTTCTGGCATTTTATCATTTTGCATGTGGTGAATACTTCTAACACAAATTTTTAATTTTTTGGTGCTGTCAATGGAATCTATGGAGTATATCTTGAAACTGTTAAGTTTAAGCAGTTATACAGTTACCTCGTAATTCTTGCCCTTGCACGTGATTGTGTGTGGAGTTCATTGAACATTTAGGATATTTGGTCTATCCATTCAGATTCTGGGAAATCATTCCTGTATTATCTTTCCATCTTTTAGCAACTTTAGTTCATTTTTTTATGGCACAAGGCTCCAAGCTTATATATTATTAAAGAAGCAAAGTATTCTTTTTGTGAAGTGCAAACATTTACAAAGCACAAGAAATATTTTTCTTTCATTTCTCAAAAGATTCTCAACAAAGGTTTGTTTATTGGAGAATGCCTTAATTAGCTTGTGTCAACCTTTTAACTAACATGATGCATTGTTTAAGAAAGATGCTTTTGTGATAGTGTTCAAATGCTCATGTTATAGCCTATTGGATCAAAATTAATCATAGATTAAGAATCAAGCTAAACAGGAATCTTTCTGTCCCATTTATTCCCTCACTGAAGAGAGCAGTTTTGTTAGAAGGCATGTTTATTAATGATTGAAGTTTTATACTAGTAGTAGTAAATTTTACCTAATCTGGTGGCACATGCCACATGAAGCAGGGTATCACTGGGAAAAGTCAAAAGTGAGATTTATGTTTTTCTTGTTTCTAACACCCCTATAGTAGCCGTCTCAAATAGGCCTAACTGAAGTTTGATTGGATTAATCGAGTCTCGAATAGGCTTGACTGAAGTTTGATTGGATTAATCGGTTCTCGAATAGGGCCTGATTGAAGTTCAATTGGATTAATCGAGTCTCGAATAGGGAAGAGATTATGTTGGGGAATGTTTTCTGATGTCAGTTCATGAAAGATATACAAAGGGACATTAATATCCACAGATCAAAGGGTGGTTATGCAAAGATTTAAGAAATTAAACTTTATATTTTAGTTATTTATACAATTTACATCTGAAGTTTACATTCTATATATATTTCTGTACTTTGGGATTTCAACAAAAAAAAAAAACAAAAATAATATCATAGGATAATGAAACCTCCATGGTTTTCTTGCTATGCTTTTGGCAAAGCAACAAAAACATTACAATTGCAGTGCAGGGAAAAGTGTTTCAGAGGGTACAAAAATATTCTCAGAACAATTCTGGGCTTCTTCTATTCTGAGGATCCAAGCTTTCAAAGACTCCCTCTCCTCTGAGAGATGTTTTACTGCTCTAATGGCTCAGCTGAGTTTGGCTTGTGTCTTTGCATTGTTTCATACTCCACATCCCAAACCTCTTGCCTCTGATCCCCTCATTAGTCTTAGCCTCTTGCATGATGACAAGAACATCCTGGAATAACCATAGCAAAATCTTAATTAGTACACTAACAACAACAACAAAAGTTACCAAGATCTCAGAATCCATTCTTCTGGGGCTTACAACAATGAATGGTGAGATCTGTAAAGTGGAGGTGGAGGGGAAAAGATCAGAACTTACTCCCATGGAACATCTCCAACAAGCATCAAGTCTCCATCTTTGTCTTGATAGGCAGGGGCATATTCTGATCCCTTGTAGCCTTCCCTTTCACAATAGTCACCAATTGTGAGTTTGAACATGTTCTCCAAAGCACATAGGAGTTCTGGGTAGCACCCATACATCTTCAAGTCAATCTTTCTAAGGTAAGGGGCTCCATCCATGCTCACTTTTACATACATTCCATTCTGCTCACCTGCAGCATCTGACTTCTTTGCTTGGAGGTTATTTTTCCTGTAAGATCTAACTGGTGGCCATCCCACTATCTGTGACCTGCATTATTATCACATTAGTTAATTACTGTTTTGTTCCTCCACAACCTTTAATTTGAATCCAAGAAAGATTTATATCATCATCACTTACTTGGCAGCAGGTGAAACATTGGCCTTTGATTCACAATCATCTTCATCATCTGATTCTGGTAAGGCTCTCTTGTTGTTCTTGGCAGTTGAGACTATTTCATTGTCATCATGACACTCTAATTCTTCTGTTCCAGGCAACCCCAATCTAAGCTCAGTTGCTTTGAGGCTCAGATCATTCTCATGTGCCACCACACCTTCCATTTCTTCTTCCTTAAAAAGCTTGAAAGATGAAAAGATTGTTGCTTTGTTGTTCAAGATTGGGTTGTGGGAAAAGATGAGTTTGAATGGAAGTTGTGGGAAGGGTTATATAAGGGGGCTGATTTGTTAATTTATTTATTAATTAATTAGGTTGGGGCATACATTTGGGACAGATGAAAAGGAAAGTGTCTGGAGAATGAAGAGCAGTATTAAGGCAGGTGTTCCAAGATTTAGGGGACAGGAGAGAGACAAGGTTGAGCCGCCCATATGGGGCACTTTTATTATAGGGGGGAGTGTAATACTGTAATGGGCAATGGGAAGAAGGTAGCATTGAAGATGCATGGGGGGGTTTTGGTTTTGGAGGCCGTGGGAGCAAAATCTGGGACGTTGAATTTGTGTTTGCCTAACCTGCCTACCTGAAGTAGACCACTCAGTTTCTCAGAGTTCCCCCTTTGCTGTGTATGTTAGCTACTAAATGTTTAATCTCTTGTCTTCAAAAAAAGAAAATGTTTAATCTCGGAGAAAGATTTTGGTGCCTCCTATTTTGATGACGAAAATATATATTTTTTTTCAACCCTGACTATAATTCCTGATCTTGTCTTGGAGTTTAACGTAGTTGGTTCGTAGTCTAACTTAAATGTCATGAATGGAGATGGCAGCAGCGGCAGTGTGGGAGCAACCTCTCAAAGTGAGGGGGGCTCCTTGTGCGCAGTGAGCACCGGTCTAGCCTCTGTGATTAATGTTCAGTTGAGTCACCATGATTTACAACCTCCCACCGCTCTGTCGGGCCGGCGTGTGGGGGACCCTTAGGGTTGGGGTTCAGCCTTTTGGAATAATGAATGGAGATGGCAGTGTGGGGTTTGAATTCCATTGGAAACATGTATGGAAAAAAAAGGCCTAAGGATGATGAAAAGTTTGGATTGAATTCTTTGTGCGCACATGAAAATTATGATATGATCGGTGAACTGATTGTGCGACTCGCAGTTTACCTCCACAATAGCTCTAGGGGCGAGGTCCTATGGGTTTAGGATTAGTCTAGCAAAGTTGAGATCACCTAAGTGTATAAAAATAAATGACTTTGGGACAATTTCATCCAAGTTGGTCAGGTTATTGACTTGATAACTACAAGGATTTGAACCAGTTAGCTAAGTATAACCTAGCCTGATTCATTTCTTGCGATCATTTGCTAGCTAGGATAATATGGTGGGCTAGTGAGATTTACCTAGTACCCACTCTTAGATAATAGCTGCGAGTTTCTCTCGACACTAAAAATATATATATATATATATATATTGACCCTTTCATCTTTTAATGTTTTTTTTTTTTTTTTAATCAGGATCAGGATTTACGGTTTCTCGTTGGAATGATAAAAAATTATGACTTACAATATAATTTCTCTTTTTTGAGGGTTAGGGCATGTGAATAGTGTCTGAAGATGTGGAGATATGTGGGGGGTGGGTGCCGGATTTGGGACTAAGGATTTTGGGCACAAAATAGAAGTGGTTGGTTGAGTTCAGCGGTGGGTAATGGACAACAGGACATAATCACACGTGGAGGTTTTAGAACGACGATTTAGCTCACTTCTATCCATCTTACAATGTTTTCAAGAAAATATATTTTTGATTTTGGGGACAAAAGTTATAGATTAATTTGTCACGGACGAATATAAGTACACGCGTCTTATGTTAAACTTGTCGCGTTATATTATTATATGTAAATTATTACGTTTATATATTATAAAATAATAGTTTGGTTTTCATTAAACAAATATTAAATTACAAATAATTTAAATACAATTATAGTAGGGATATTGCATTTCTTTATATCTAATTATAAAGAGTGAGAGAAAATTATACTCTAATTTTTATGATTTTTATTTTTTCATCCAAAAGGTTTGTATCAAAAGCTTGAATATTTTACCTTGATATTTCACTCATAGTTTATTTCCTTCAATTCTTTATTTATTAGTTAAGTTTGTTTCTTTCCATGCGTTTGACATAAATTATTATATTTATTTCAAATTAAATTTTAATAAATATTTTTTTTGCACTATAATAAATATAATTCAAATCATTTTAAACTATAGTCTTTGGGCACTAGAATTCCTGCATTGTGCATGCAATTGCTAGTCACATTAGAGACATCAAACATTTTAAGAGGATACGTACTTTCCCACTATAAATCATTAATTAATACTCCTAGAGTGTTGTTATCCCTTGAGCTTATAGGCATAAAGTGAGTTTGAATTGTTATAATGTAATTAATTAATTTGGTATATCATATATAAGACAAAAGAGAAATAAATTGATATACCGTCTTACTTTTTAGGTCTTCATAATCATAAATAAAAGGTGTAATCAAGTCAAGTCAAGTTCGATATTCAGCTCAACTGAAAAAGTTAATTAAATATCAAACTTGATCGAATTTTAATTTTTTGAACTTGAATTATTCAAGCTTAATTGGCTTGAGTACATCAGAATTTTATATTTTTAATATAAAGCATTATAATAATAATAAATATTTTACAATCAAATAACATAATCAAAAGTAATATTGCATGATTATTGTCATTTTATACTATATAAAATAAATAAATAAATTTATTAGTCTTGTAAGCTACTCGAATTTAATATTAAATAAGAAACTCGAATTCTGCTTGACTTATTAGTGACTCAATAATAGTTGATCAAACAGAATTAATTACACAGAACGACCATCTTTCTTTTTATTAAAAAAAAAAAAGTACCTCTTGAACCACAGTTCACACAGTCATATTTTACAGTAAAATTTACCATTGTCATTTGAACTTATATATAAATTTTCAAAAAGCAAATTAAAGGAAAAGGAAACATGGATGCACGTGTGGTTGTGGAGGGAGGGCAGGGGCATGGGAGTTTGCGTGTTAGACCGGTCGGCCCATAAAAGTTGTATATATATATATATATATGGTACAGGCAGGCTAGGGTCCAGGCTGTGCAGGCAAGCTAAGCTAAAGGATGGGAGGAGACAATGAAGGCAAAGACACCTCTGATGTGATGATGGCCTTCTCTTCTGCGAGTCGGTGCATGCCACCTCCTTTAACTACAATACTATGGGGAGAGGTCAGAGAATGCTGCGTGCATGTTAAGTGCTTACTTTTTGTCCTAAAGTTAATATCCTATTTGACCTATTGAAAATTCAGATCCAATTATTTATTGAGTTATTACACTATACTCACACTCAACCTTTTGACTATTGAGCTGGCCAAAGGCAATCTTAGCTTGTCTACTAAGTAGTGACTATCAAGTGATCATGCATATATATTGCGTAATGGTCAAACAAGATGATCAAACCACATGCATGCATGCATATACCAATACACAAAGGGAACCACATACATATGGATTACTATGATCATTGTCAATAGCCATAGACTAATTCATTAACTAATCTTAAAAAGTTAATAAGTTTTGCTTCCTAGCTATTAAGAAAAGTATAGAATTGGCCCTATTATTATGCCTTCAATTTATAAACCTTTAAAACACATTTTACAATTTTACCTAGCTAATTAATTCTCATTTATATTAGACCAAATTGAAAGTGTACTAATTGTGTATCAAAAGAAGGATATATAGATGTTGTAATAGGGCACAATGCTGGAAATTATGGAATTTCCGACCACTTGAAAATGATCTTAAATCAAGTCGAAAGTCTTGTTCCGACCACTTTTAGTATCCAGAAAAACTTTTGTTGCTATTTCCGATCAGTTTTTACTTTCGACTTGATATAAGATCACTTTCAGGTGGTCGGAAATTTCATAATTTACAGCAGTGGCAACTCATTAAGATAATGATCCTGTTTGGTAAAATAGTTAGTTTATAAGCCAATTTTGACTTATTTGACTACCATTAGTTATTTGACTTGGTTAAAAAATCAATATACGTATTTGGTTAATTAACTTTTTGTAACTCTAAAATGCGAAAATTCAAAAAGCTGCTCAAAACAACTTTTTCCATTAACTTTTTAAGAAAAGAAATTATACCAAACAACTATCAATTAAGAGCTAATTTACTAAACACCTTTCTACAATCAGCTATTTACCGAACAGGACCAATGTAGGGTAATACTAGGTAGCTAGCTAGGTTGGTGTTTTGGTAAGGCCGGAGAGAGATGCCAAAAACTGGCTTTTCTTGCATTAAAGCCCTGTGGTTTAGTGCAACGGTGGAGGACCAGCTAGCTAGCAGTCCAACACTGAATTCCCACGTACATTATATTATCTCATCTGCAAATCAAATGGTCCATGCACCGATGTTGCCATGACATTCCTCGTCCTCCACACCTTCAGATATGCCATACATACATGCATATCTGCCATTAATTAACACAATCATATTAAACCCCTCCAATCCTGCTACTCCAACTCATCACTCCCCTAAACCAGATCAGATGAGATACATTGCAGAAACCCACTCCAGTCGCCATCTCTTTTTTCAAAGTTGTATGTGGTGCTAAACCCAACTCACAATTATTATATATCTCCTCTGTGGTACGTACCCAACAACCCCTCATAAAAACATATATACCACAATAATGCTAGCTAGCTAGCTAGCTACCTCTCTCTTGGCCTGGACACCTATTTTGTAATAGTTGGATCATTGCTAGTGCTATGCCAACTCTAATTTCAGTACCTAGCTTATAAAGCCCGGCTTTGACTTGAAAACTACATAGAATTTGAAGATATATAAAGTTAAGAATTGAAATGAGTCATACATAATATATTATATTCATTATATAATCTTACTAAATAATGTCAATAATGGTTTAAAATTAGACAAAAAGATCAGCATTACACTAGTGTAGATTGTGAAGTGACTATAATATTATTGATTATAAAAATATATAAAAGATAAAGGAAGGACCTTGATTTAATGAGGTCATCCTACCTTAATGACTTGACTTAATATATATATATATATATATATATATATATATATATATATATATATATATATATATATATATATATATATATATATATATCTCTTGAATGAATCACTAATTACTAATTTTTTTTAGTTGAATATTGTGATCGTTTATGACCTGTGTTGAAAATTATGCATTAAATTTAGTCTTTTCTATAATTATTTCATATTTTATACCTTATCATGCACATTATTGCCTTTGCAGAGTTCTAGTGCTCATTGTCCATTTTTTCAGAACACATTATTGTGCCTTCAACCTTTAAGATCGTGTATGTATATATAACATTTGATCTTGAATGAATCACTAATTATTAATTTTAGTTGAATATTGTAATCTTTTATGATTTGTGTTGAAGATCATGTATTAAATTTAGTCTTTACAATAGTTGTTTGCATATTTTTTGTGCTTTACAGTGCACATTTTTGCCTTACAGTGCACATTGTAATGGAAGGGT